TATTTTTTAGTAGAGACGGGGTTTCACCATGTTGGCCAGGATGGTCTCAATCTCTTGACCTTGTGATCTGCCTGCCTCAGCCTCCCAAAGTGCTGGGATTATAGGCGTGAGTCACGGCGCCCAGCCTCTGTGTACATATCATTTCCAATAAATTGCATTGAATACTTGCTTTCAACCCAATTTATTTAAGGAACATCAATCTTACAATTTGTGACTTACCTTAGTTGCAAAGCACAAAAAAAGTTCAGTGCCTAAGTTTTCAAAATTCTGGTGGGGGCTAGGCGCAGTGGCTCGCACCTGTAATCCCAGCACTTTGGGAGACCATGGCAGGTGGATTGCTTGAGGCCAGGAGTTCAAGACCAGCCTGGCCAACATGGCGAAACCCTGTCTCTACTAAAATTAGAAAAATTAGCGGGCATGGTGGTGCATGCCTGTAACCCCAGCTATGTTGGGAGGCTGGGGCACAAAAATTGCTTGAACCCAGGAGACAGAGGTTGCAATGAGGCCAGATTGTGCCACTGTACTCCAGCCTGGGTGACAGAGTGAGACTCTTAAAAAAAAATTCTGATGGGGACAGAATTTCTGATATCACCTTATTTAGGAGTTTTTTTTGTTTGTTTGTTTTTATAACCTATTCTTTTTTTGAGGTAGATTTTATATTATTTATTTATTTATGAGACAGAGTTCCCTCTGTCACCCAGGCTGGAGTGCAATGGCGTGATCTCGGCTCACTGCAACAACCCCCACCTCCCGGGTTCAAGTGATTCTCCTGCCTTAGTCCCCCCGGTACCTGGGATTACAGGCGTGGGCCACCATGCCCAGCTAATTTTTATATTTTCAGTAGAACGGGGTTTCACCATGTTGGCTAGACTGGTCTCAAACTCCTGTCTTCAGGTGATCCATGCCCCTCTGCCTCCCAAAGTGCTGGGATTACAGGCGTGAGCCACTGTGCCTGGCCCATTTGTTTGTTTTAAGGACAGAATCTTACTCCGTCACTCAGGCTAGAATGCAGTGGTGCAATCATGGCTCATTGTATCCTTAACCTCCTGGGTTCAGGCCATCTTCCTGAGTAACTGGAACTGCAGGTATGCACCACCACACTTGGCTAATTATTTTTATTTTTTTGTAGAGATGGGGTCTTGCCACGTTGACCAGGCTAGTCTCAAACTACCAGCCCATAAGCAGTCCTTTTGCCTGGGGCTCCCAAAGTGTTGGGATTACAGACGTGAGCCACCATGCTGGGCAGGAGATTTTTAAAGTATTTTTACTTTGTATAAGAGATTTTCGGCCAGGCCCGGTGGCTCAGGCCTGTAATCCCAGCACTTTGGGAGGCCAAGGCAGGTGGATCACTTGAAGTCAGGAGTTGGAGACCTGCCTGACCAACATGGTGAAACCTCGTCTCTACTGAAAATACAAAATTAGCTGGGTGTGGTGGCGCACACCTGTAGTCCCAGCTACTTGAGAGGCTGAGGCAGGAGAATCACTTGAATCCGGGAAATGGAGGTTGCAGTGAGTCGAGATTGCGCCATTGCACTCCAGCCTGGGCAATAAGAGTGAAACTCTGTCTCAAAAAAAGAGATTTTCTTCTACCAAGGGCAAAGCATAGTACAATTTAAATTTTGGAAATATTTAATATGAAAAACTAACAATTCAGCAACTTATGTTGAGTTCTTACTGGACGGGAGGTATTTTTTGAGCTTCATTAGTATTTCACTTAACACATTTTTAACTGGGTAATCGTTTTATCTGTTTCTAGGCCATACAAGACACAAACAATTTGAAGAGATTTATCCGACAGGCAGAAATGAATCATTATGCTTTGTTTAAATGTTACATGTTCCTAAAGAACTGTGGTAGTGGAGATATACTTTTGAAGATTGTTAAAGTAGAACATGAAGAAATGCCTGAAGCCAAAAATGTAGTAGCTGTCCTTGAAGAATTCATGAAAGAAGCTCTTGACCAAAGTTTTTGATCTTATGTTTTGAGATAATTGTATGATCAAGTTTTTATATTTGAGCCTTAGTGTTTGAGATTGCAGTTATAATTGTTCGTAGGATTGCTTAAGATTATTTGAAACTCAAACCAGATTTTCTTTTCGTATTTTAACAATTTAACTTAAAAATCTGAGGAGCATCTTCGCTGAGTCTTAGATAGATATGTGTGTGAGAGTTGTGGAATTTTAGTGTCTCCCTGGCCTTGTAAATTCCAGGCTTCAGGAAGTTATTGCTTAAAAAATTTCAGAGATGATTTTGTTTGTGGCTTTTCTCAGGAGTTTGCTACAGTATTTAGCAAGTTTTCTTCTCAGAAAAATCATAATGCTTCTTTCTCAATGGATTGTAGCTTCTTAAAAAAAATGTAATCTTAGTCTTAGAACAGATTAATACCCCACTACACCATTTCAGACAGGTCTGTGCATCCTGTGGGTGCTGGATGCATTTTTTTGTCTAGTTGATAATGGCATGGATAAAAGTCAGATTTAAGTCTATATGCAAATCCTGAGTATGTAAGAAATTAAATGAGCTTTAAAAATAGATATACTAGCTTTAGGAGAAAACATTATCTTTGAGAGAAAGCTACTGCAGAAGTCGCCCCCAGTCACTTTTTTTCATTCATTTGTTCACAGGCATCTATGAAGAGCCTGTGTTTTCTTTTACGTGAAAATGCTGGCGTTTTAAAACAGTGTTGAGAAAAGAAAGTACATACAGTTTACAAGCAAACTGTAACATAAGGAATGCAAACAGAAGTTCTTCATATTTGAGTTAAACTCATTGATTTTAGGGTTTGTTTTTTTGTGTGTGTTTTTTTTGTTTTTGTTTTTGTTTTTGGTTTTTTTTTTTTGAGATAGAGTCTTGGTCTGTTGCCCAGGTTGGAGTACAGTGGCGCCATCTCGGCTCACTGCAACCTCCACCTCCCAAGTTCAAGCAGTTCTTTCCCTCGGCCTCCCGAGTAGCTGGGATTACAGGCACCCACTACCATGCCTGGCTAATTTATTTTTATTTTTGTTTTTTAAGTAGAGATGGAGTTTCACCATCTTGGCCAGGCTGGTCTTGAACTCTTGACCTCGTGATCCACCCGCCTTGGCCTCCAAAGTACTGGGATTTTATGTGTGAACCACTGTGCCCGGCCTGATTTTAGTTTTTTGTACATTTGTTACAAGCCTCAGATTGTGGTACTCTGAATCAATTGAAAGTGCCCTCAGCTAGCCATTTACAATTCCCATGGAAGCCTATGTAGCTACACACATATGATTGCAATTGCTTGGCATAGCTCTTTAATATATTCATTTGGTAATGATTTTTGCATAGAAGAACAGAAGCCTTGTGTTCTCACTTCCCTCAGGATGCTCAGAGAAGCACAAACCCATAAAACTGAGGAATCCTTTCTTAAATGGATCTAAATTCACATTAAGTGCTGAGTTTTAACATTCAAAATGACTGACAATGGCCCTCTGCCTTCTCTACATAAGCCTTGGGACATGACTCACCAAGCATTTCTTTTCCTTTAATGAGAAATACAATTCAGGATCTTCATAAATGCTTTCATATGGTTTTAAACTTTAATAACTTGGATTGTAGGCAGTATAGAAAAAAAATCTA